AAATGGCTGCTCGCTGGAGTAGCTTCTTTGGGCCCGAATATAGGGGAAGGAGTGGCGCCCTCTGTGATATCCATTGGTGAAGGAACCGGTGAGAGGTCAGCGGCATTTCGCGGAGACTCTGCCAGCAAGGAGGATCCTCGCGAAACGTCCGGATCGGCGGTACTGGGGCATTGCTTCAGCGTCCTCAGAAGAGTGTCAACCTCCATAGAATCTCTATCGTCGTCTGCTGGGAGTAGAACTGTGCTATCGGCCAAGGTATGACCAGAAGAAGGTGAAGTGGGGCGCACCCCGGTACCTGTTTCCGAACGGGGCGAATTGCCGCTGGGATTATCATCCATGAACGCAACCTTCGGAAAGTTATCACCGACGGGAGGGGCGGCAGCCTGAAAGAACAGGAACTGATCGCGGAAGTACAAAGCAGTGAAGCGTGCGTAGAAGTAAGCGGAAAGATGTGAACGAGCTCTTAAAAAGAGTTGGGCGCTTCTTGAATCGAAGTGTTATATGGGTGGGATAGCGTGGGAGACACTGTTTCTTGAGAGACGGTAACGGAGCGTGAATAACCGGGCAGAAAGTAATCCGATGCTTGACAGCTAACCAACGCCGCCTGTTCCTTATCTGGGAGCCAAGGTGATGTGAAAACGGGGCCCGACAGTAGGATGGCACTTCTTGACTTGATTCATGCAGACTCGCTTGGGAAGAGACTGAGGAGATGAAATACTGGCGTTGACGACATGGCGGTGCTCCACTGATATCACGCGGAACTGGCCTAGCCACGACATGCACAGCTTGGAAGGAAAGGCCCTGAAGGTGGTGCGAAGTTCCTCAAAGTAGACGCGGTCGCCTACTTTGACTTCCAGCGGTGGCAAGTGTGTTTTATCGTACTGCGCTTTATACGCATCCCGCTGCTTCGCATTGAAGTCAAACGCCAGTCGCCAAGCTGCGTGAAGCACGGGAAGAAGGCGTTCTACGTAAACGCTCGTGATCAGTGTCTGGGATTACGTGACGCTCCTCATGATGGCGAATGAGGAGGTCAACATTGAACGTGGGGTCTCTGCCGAACATCAGAAAAAAGGGAGTGTTCTGCGTGCTACTGTGTATAGAGGTATTGTACATGAATGCACACGCCGGTACGAAGAGATCCCAGTCGGATTGCGCGGGACTGATATACGAACGCAGCATTAACTGGAACGTTGCGAAAATTCTTTCGCATGCTCCATTCCCTTCATGGTGATATGGTGTACAAAAATATCGACGAACTCGTAGTAATTTCCCTAACTCGGTGAGAGTCTCAGACCGGAAGTAGGACGCATTATCGGAAATAAGCTCGGTCATAACCCCGTATTTTAGGACACATTCGTTCATTAACGCCCGTGCTATGGTAGAGGCAGAGCAGTCAGGCAGAGCTGCGGCGATCAGATATTTGGAAAAATGATCAACCATGGCTATGATGTAGCGGTTACCAAACTCCGTCATATGCATAGGGCCGGTGAGATCCACGTAGACTTTGTCGAAAATCGCCACCGGGACCGGTGGTAAAAGGGCTTCTTGATTCCGTGCAGCAGCTTTTTTCCGTTGGCAGATGTCGCACGAGCGACACAGCGCATGAATGTCCTCTGCCATATGGGGCCAGTAGTAACGGCGTGAAAGTTTAGCAAGAGTTTTACGCCAGAAGAAATGACCGCCGGCCGTTGGACTCTCGTGGAATGCCGAGAACAGGGCATCTTTGAGCTTTTCCGGAACGACAATTTGATCGTAATTGTTCCCGGGAGGTGCCGGCGAAGAACGACGATAGTACAAACAGCCATTCGACTTGAGGAAGCACCGCTCAGCTATCTGAAGTAGAGATGCCTTACGACTATCATCGACGTCCTCAGGGAAGGTGCCGTTTTTGAGAAAGTGCACAATATCCCTACAGAATCGGTCCTGTTGCTGTTCAATGACCAGGTCGTGTGGTCGGATTGCAATCGGAGAATGATGCAGCAGCGGTTCGCTTGCAGAGAGCGGAACTCCAGCCAAACAGCGGGGAAACTCGACAATGTCGTCGCTTTCCGGCGAGTTCTCTCGAAACTGGGAGGAGGCAAGACTGATTCGGGAGAGACAGTCAGCGACCGTATTAGAAGAGCCCTTAAGATATTCTATGGTGATATTGTAGCTCTGAAGTTCTACGATCCAGCGAGCTAAGTTGTCGTGCATCTTCTTGTGCTTAAGCAAAAACGTCAGCGGCTTGTGATCGGAAAAGATCCGCGTAAGGTTGCCGTATATGGTAGCACGAAAAAAACGCAGCGCGCTGATCATTGCGAACAACTCTATATGTGTCGGACTCCAGCGGCGCTGGGATTCGGAAAGGGCCTTGCTAAAATAACCGACTGCGACTAACTTATTACCC